ATACTAACCGCAGGCGCCATGGCGGCGGCGGAGGCAGAAAGGGAGCGGAGCGCACTGCGCAGACGCGAAGAACCGCAGCGCGCAGAGCACGTAAGGCCCAGGCCGTACCAATCGCTCCGCCCCGCCCCCGAGTCATCGCTGCACCCTGTTCTGTACCATCGGGGCGCGATTGCTTTCGCCTGTTTGCAAAGCCGGTCCATTGGAAGGCCTGGAGGATGGGCACGGGCTGGGTGGGCTGTCTCACTGCGAAGGGTTGGAGTGGGGGAGCCCGAGCGGATCGAGTCCACAGAGAAATAAAGGGGTACGCTCTACGTTTCAGAGGCGTGGAACGAAAAAGAAATTCACTAGAGCATGAATTGCCAGCTAATAGGATGGGAGTGGACCCCATCAACTTGGGGAGCAGAGGCCAGGCCCTGTGGCCCTGGGGTCCCAATACCGAGGGCCCTTTGGCTTCTTGCTGCCTGGTACTCAGTTGGAAGCTGGGGCTGTATCCCCCAGCGCTGGCCACCGTCAGGTACACTCTCCTGTACGACCCCTTCACAATCTCAAATGCCAGCCGCCCGCCCACTGATCTCCTCCTGGTTTCCAGCTCGGCCAGTGCTTCTCAAACTGGCCTGGCGCCAGGAATCTCCTGGGGGCCTGGCTAAAGTGCAGAGACCTAGCCCAGCCGGTGTGGTTCAGTGGTTGAGCCTCCACCCACGAACCCGGTCCGGGTCAGGGCACATGCTGGGGTTGCAGGCTCCATCCCCAGTAGGGGGCATGCAGGAGGCAGCCAACCAATGATTCTCTCTCGTTATTGATGTTTCTATCTCCCCTTCTCCCTTCCTCTCTGAAATCAATAAAAATGTTTTTTTAAATAAAGTTGCGTTAGAGCAGTTGTCGGCAAACTGCAGCTCGCGAGCCACATGCGGCTCTTTGGCCCCTTGAGTGTGGCTCTTCCTAAGCCTTAGAAGTACCCTAATTAAGTTAATAACAATGTACCTACCTATATAGTTTAAGTTTAAAAAATTTGGCTCTCAAAAGAAATTTCAATCGTTGAACTGTTGATATTTGACTCTGTTGACTAATGAGTTTGCTGACCACTGCCTTAGAGAGTTCCCAGATTTATGTTTGGGGGACCATCTTTTCATATAGCCTTAGTTATAAGGTGTCTGTATAAAAACCTTTTTAAAATAAAATAAAATGCAGAGTCCTAGTCATTGGCCCATGTGCTGAGACCGTGCATTTCTCACAAACTCCCAGGAGCTGCTGCTGCTGCTGGTGGTGGTGGTTCATGGACCACAAATTGAATAGCAAGGGTCTTCTTCCCCAGGACTACAGTCGATTGACTGTGACAGGAAGAAAAACAATTCAGGATGTTCTAAATTAAAATCACAGCGGCTGGGGCGTGACAGCAAGAGAACAGTTACCCTGCTAACAGCTGTGGGCCGGCTCTGACAAAGAACGGACTGCTCACATTCCCTTCTGTCTGATAGAATTTAGGGCTAATTTCCAGGTGGCTATTTCTGGGGTTATAGACCCTTAGGATCCTCTGCTTATTTACACATGAGCTTTCCCATCTGCTGCCCACAGGAGCTGACACTCCTTCCTTGTGGACTCTGCAGAACTGGCCCCACTTCTTTCCTGTAAATTTATTCCAGCTCCTGGGAACTTGGACTTGCTGCTCCCTCTGCTTTGAACTCTTCCTGGCGTGTCTGGTGTCTGATTTCCCTTCATCCTCCAGGGTCTCGCCCGCTCTGCTCAAGGATGTCTACTGTAGTCTCAGCCCCACCCCCTCCCAGCTACCCTCCATCATACCATCCTGATTATTTTCTTCGGAGCATGTAACACAGTCTGCCATTGTCGTACTTGTTTATTTGTGTACTTGGGTGACCTTGCTGGTGTGTTCCCTCCTGTGTGTCTGACCCATGACAGATGCTGAGTAAATACTGTCCAAACAGATGAAGACAGGAGTGGACAGATTAAATAAGCCTGTGTCGGGACAGACACTCCTCCTGCTGCCCCTCCAGAGGGAAGCCAGCGCACGTTCATTGAGAAAGGACTCGCCTGGTTTTGTACAGCAGTTCTGTCACTTATGGGGGTTACATTTTCTACCTCCCTGGGGTTGTTGTCAGGATTAACAAGTAAAAGAACTTTGACTAGTACATTGTCCCATAAGCATTAGCCATTGTAATTATTTTTTAAATATATTTTTATTGATTTCAGAGAGGAAGGGAGAGGGAGAGAGAGATAGGAACTTCAGTGATGAGAGAGAATCATGGATAGGCTGCCTCCTGCACGTCACCACTAGAAAGATTGAGTCCCAAACCTGGGCATGTGCCCCGATCAGGAATCAAACCATGAACTCCTGGTTCATAGGTCATGTTCAACCACTGAGCCATGCCGGCTGGGCTAGCCATTATTATTATTATTATTATTATTATTATTATTGTCATCATGACTTGGGGCACAAATGAAACCAGGGCTAGGGATGACCCTTAAAAGAGCAGATAGTTTCTGCCTAGAATTCACTTCCTTTCTTTCCCCCCGGCAAACTCCTACACATCCTTCAAAACCCAGCTCGAATATTATCTCCTAGTTTTTTCTGATTAGTAAGAGTTTATTGAGCACCTTATGTGGGACAAGCTCTGGGCTTGACTCTGGTTTCAAGAAGGGCAGGGGCTGTCTTCCCAGAGCTCAGTGTGCCGAGAAAGCAGGGATGACCTAGGGATGAAGGGCATTCTGGAGAAAATCACACTGGCGTGGACACGCGCTCCCCAGGCCTAGATGGGCAGAGGGGACCTGGCAGAAAGGGGGGCCTGCTGACTTGGAAGCCTAGTATTTGAATTTCCCTTCCGGAAAGTCTCACCCCATCACTGGGAGGCCCGCCCCGTTTTACCCAAACTCGGAGGTTCTGAGAGGTCAGTACCTTGGCCAGGAGGCCCCGCCCGCTCCGCCCCCTCGCGGGTGCTGCGAGGTCTGTGGAGGGGCGTCGCTGCTCGCTGTCGCCCCCAATTGGCCGCGTTGGAAATGGGGCCACGCGGACCCACTCCCGTCCCGGCTCCAGT